TTTCACTAACCAGATTCTTGAAAGAAGTGTGAATAACAATTGAATGAATACCAAAAGCATCTAGCACGATATCCTCCAGTCTAGTTTTAGAACCTGTAGAAACTGTTTTTGGTGGGGTCATAAGCTATTCCTGAAACAGGGGTTCAGTCCAGCTGTGTATCCTGGATGTAAGTGCCCCTTTTGATATTGTCAAAAAAGTAGCGGATCGAGCGGGTGGAGTTATTAAATGAATCAACTTTTTTCCCTAAGAATTACCATGCAAAGACTGATGAAGTTGTGGTATCAGTGTGTAAACAGGTGAAACAGGAATTCATGTTTGGTTAACAATCACCAACTGCTAATCAAAAACCAGCCACTTTTAACCTAATAGGAAAGCCTTGTTTACATCCCTGCTTTTACAGGCAGCTTCAGGACAGACTATCTGACTATTTTAACTCCGGGCATGATGATAGAAAAAGAGACAACAGGAAGTCAGAGCAGAAAGAGACAAATAGCCCAAACTAAGCCAACAGGATGCCAGTTAAAAAACTTTATGGCCTTGGGTTCATATAAAACATGTAACCTCATACACAACCCCACACCACAGAAACATAACCTCACCCCAAAGCCTGGGGAAGCTATGCTATTACCCTCGGTTCTCACACGGCCTCCTGTTCTAATATCCTGCTCTGCTGCCTCATGCTGCAGTTGCCATGGTGGGCATTTTTCCATCTTCAGGCACAAGGCACAAGAGTGAGGGTAGATGACCTTCCCTCCTGGGCAAAGGTCAGAGCTGGTTTATAGATGATGATGTGGGAATTTCTGGTGCACATTAGGTATGTGAGAGGAATGCAATACAAAATTCAAACGTGTTTCACAGACATGAATGAAGCCTAATAGTTCTACTCCATCAAGGTAAAGTAATTTGCTTATTTGCACTTGTTTGATTTGAATTTAGGTTCTTTTCAAGTCCTTGAAAAGTCTGAAAGGAATATATTTATTTCTTGAATACTTTTGAATTCATTGAAAAATGGGGTTTGGTGTCCTCAGTTCAGGTTTAGAAGCCTTAAAATGATGGTTTCTTGCTATGCTGTTAAGCCTTCGACCTGACCACAGCTTAGTATTAAATGAACAAGTTTCATATTTATCCAGGAAACCATCACATGTTGGTTGGTGTAATAAGCAGTTTATATCTGGACTTTTATAAACACATTATCTGAACCATGTATCCCTTCACTTTTTGTCCCTCAGGTGAATTACGGGAAGGTCTGCAACGACAGTCGTAAAAGGCTACAGTTCACGGTGTCACGTGGCTGCAGCCCAGAGTTTGTGTTTGTGCCATGTGGCAGCTCCATTGCAGTGTATGCCCTCCACACTGGAGAGCTGGTCACTATGCTCAGGGGTCACTACAACAATGTCGATTGCTGCGAGTTCCACCCAGACTACCAGGTGAGACACACCAAAGGCCCAGGTTGTCACTATTCTCTGCATCTGGCCAGTGTACCCATCTATCTGCAGTGCAGCCTTTGTTTGTATTTCCACCAATCTATTTCTGTTTGTTCTGCCAGTCTGGTCTAGTTTTTCTCCTGTATGCTTAGAGAATTCAGGTCAGTTTCTCTCTGTCCATGTTTTTTTTTTTTTTTTTTTTATCTCTTTAACCGCTCTGGTGTTGTCAGGAGCTGTTACAAATTTGCAATCACCATGGCAGTCTCAAATGAGCCATTTTCCTGTGGACAGATAACATGATAAAGTCAACATTTCCAGAGGTATACCAAACTACTATAAATGCAAATACAGGTCTCACCATTGTGAGCCTCAAGTTAGTACTCTCTGCCTAAATGTTGACTGTGTCTCAAGGTTTAACTGCACAGTTGTAATCATCTTAACCATCTTGGAGTCAAATAAGTGCTACCTTTGTTTCACCATTATCTCTAACATACAGTTCTCTACCTATGCTTGTTGCCATGAGGATTGCAGGAGGGGATTGAAAGCCAAGGGGACAGGGATGTGGCATTGGTGCTTTATCTTAGCTTTCTTAGCTGCTCTGCCATAAATTTTAAGCTTTTTAATTATTATCTCTTCACACTTTCCACAAAAGTGCAAGAGGTTTCAGTATCTGTACATTTAACTTGAATGTTAAACATCACAATGTAGCTGAAGACAGACCCTACTGCCAAACTTTATTTTTTAAGGCAGAAATGCACATATTGGATTATTCCAATATCGATATACAGATTTTTATAGATAATTACAAAGTAAAAGAGAGACCATACCAGTTATTCTGTTGCTAATTTTACAATGGACACAGAAATGTGCCACTTCCAAAATAGGCAAATATTGACATAAAAATAAGATCTGACTAAAACCAATATCTTTTTTAAAATCCAGCCGTTGGCTGAAATCAGTACTCTTCCAATATATCTGCAAATCCCTGGCATATTTGTCATGATTTCTCTTACAGTCTAAGCAAAACTAACAATATACAGCTAGAATATGCTTGTTCAGTAATGTATTTCTGCTCAAGTGTCCATTAATTGTAACTAATGTGGCAGTTATATGTCTTCATTTTCTACTTCAAGTGTATGTAGTAGTCTTGTGTGCTGAGAAACACCCTTAGCAAATTATTATACATACATTATGGTATTACACATAATCATCATAAATGTAGAGAGATGTCCAACCCATGCCCTCTTTATTGGGCAATTTCAGCATCCGGTGTCATACTCAGGTTTAGTATGTGTAAACGACTTGGGAATGCAGTTGGGCTGCTCACCACTTTGGAACTTCAGGTACGAATACCTAGTCCTGAAAATGTGTTTTACTGCTTTTTTAAGCCTCTTGTCTGATGTGATGACTGATCACTCCCATGGCAATGACAATGGCTCCAATGAGTTCACTTGCATTGCACGGACAGTTTTAAGCTTATTAATTATTTTTCTCTTGTTAACTGCTTGTTAACGTTAATTTTTCCCCAGGTGCTGATGTCATTGTTTGAAAGTGCTTTAAGGTGAAGGTTATGCTGAGACAGCAGATTTTTTCATTTCCCTGTAACAGAGTGTGAACCAAAGTGTCAGACCTGAAGTGTCCTTTCTTCTTTATATGTAGGAGCTGTATAGTGGAGGTAAAGACTGTAACATCCTGGCGTGGGTTCCTGTCCTCCGTGCCTCAGATGTGGAAGAAGAGTTACACTGTGCAAATACGGTAAGTCAAAACAACAGGAAACAATATAGGGAAAAGGACTGTATAGTGATGGATGGATGGATGGATGGATGGATAGATAGATAGTTTCAAGTGTCAACCTTCATTTTGTTATTTTCCCTTGGTGGTTATGGCACCTCAGTGTTATCCAGCACATAGTGATGCACTTACAAACACAGGGACACTCTGTCATGTCTGCTCGTCTCCTTCATCCCATTTTATCAGATGAGCAATAGAACTTATGTGTGGTTACCTGGTAGTTTTGTTTTCCTGCAGTGTATACCCATATAAGGTTGTGATTTGTGTGCATACACGTTATGTTTTTGTAATGGATCTATTTAAGAAGAATATCTTAATTCAGACTTAATATTGAGCTAAATGTCCTGATTCCTTACAGGGTGCTGCTGGCCAGTCTTCAGTGAACCCTGCCTTTCAGGACGCATGGAGTGATGAAGATTAATGCTGATGTTTTGTATGTGTGAGGAAAAGTGGACACACGGTTCTCTGAGCTTGCAAAGGAGCACACATCCTTCACAATTAACTTGTCAAAAAATTGACAGGTCCAGGGACACCTGTGAAGATAATTGTTGGTTTAGGGACATTCTTCCTGTTTCATCAATGCCAACAAAGATGAAGGCCTTAAAATTAAAATGATTTGAGTAAATAATTGTCCGACTTTATAAGTATGCACAATGTTATGAATATTTTTTGTACATTTGATATGGCATTGCTATTGTTGTTTTGCATTTTTTTATTTGAATGTAAAGCTAACATAGTCCTTGGTCATACTCATGGGGGATGACCACTACTGTCTGGGCAAATTATAATATGAGAATACATCTTTATTGTAATTTCACACAACTCACACACTTGTTTATGATACTGACACTATATTAAATTCATACATTCTGTAATACCCACAGTTAAATTTTGGCTAGAGGTACGAGAGAGAGATTTGTAAGCTTTTTAAACAGCTGTCTTTTAGCTTGTGTGTTTCTGCAGCTCAGGTGAGAAGGCACTGCCCAGAATCCGCACATGCCAGGAACCAGGCATTCAAAAACACAGGGTGTCTTGTTGTCATTCCTAGGAAAATTTGCTTTTGTTTTTAAGTTGTGCTGTCAGCCCTTGTTGAAAGTAAGCAGCAGGGAACGATACTGAAATCTCTTTCTCTGTCCCACCCCCATCACAGTTTTACATATTGGCTTTGTTTCCTTGGAAACACTTGGAACTTATATGAGGCTTCATACTGACCTATAAAACACATTAAAGTGATCAAAATAGTTATCTGTATGAAATGTACCATTATTTCTTGCATACAAATGTAGTAATTTGAATGTGAAAGGATTATTTATATCCAGGTTACTGTTTCTGTCCTCATTGTGCACAATTCAGTTCTGCTTTCCCCACTTTACCTGAAGTGTCTTGAATTGTACTGTATTATTATTATTTTTTTTTAAATGTGTCTGTCTTGTAATAAAAGAGCTGGGAATGCTACCTCCTTTACCAGACTTGTGTAATCTTAACTGTGGTTTTAGAGGGCTTATGGAAAATAACAGCACTAACTGTGAAGTTATGTCCTTTTTTGTACTGAAACCAATTATTGATTACGTTTGAAGAGTATATAGTGTGCTGTTACAAAATCGAGACATTGTTTTCGATGAGGCATCACACAAGAATCCCTACACTTGCATTGTTGGAGAGAAATTGGCCAATTAGCGAGAGAGAGCGAGAGAGAGGGCGTGGTCGAGGACCTGGTCCCGCCCATTTGGGAGCCATAAAGAGCGAAGAGAGCGCGCTCCTGAAAGCGCGTGAGCAGAGAGGGCGAAACACCTGTGGGGAAAGCTCAGGTGGGCAGGGAGTGTGGATACAAGGATTTTTGACGCACCAAAAGGATTTTCATCGAGTGTCAGCAGTCGTAGCAGAAGTGAAGGTTAGTAATTTAACTTTATTCTGTTTAACAAATCTTAGTCGAGGATAAAACATAAAAATAAGAGAATTAAAAGAGATGAGAGGGCACAAATCTGAGAACTCGTGCGTCGACGCCGAAACGTGCCCGTGATTATCGAAACATTTCCTGCCGTTGTGTGATGGATGGTAGCTGTTGAACTTGTTTTGCAAGTTGCATCACCCTTTTTTCTTCATCTTAGACACTTGTTGGGGGTTACTGTGATACTGAATAGTGTCGCTTACTCACTGAATATTATGTAAAAATGTGCGTTCTCAAAGGTACGTCTTAACTTTAATGGCCTCCTAAAACCGTTATAGAATTAACTTTAATTGTGCGCGTGAGGGGTGGTGGTCGTAATATTTCTCAAGTACAATTTTTAAGAAATGCTTTTTCTTTACAATTTGCCAGTTTGTGTGGATTCAGAAAGTCACCCATTTTATTTATTAAATCAGGTAACATCGATAACTTATTGGTGTTAATTAAGAGTTGAATCCAGTGTTTTTTTGTTCGCGTTTTTTTTCTCTTTTTTCCTCCCTCTTGCCTCAGCAAGGCTTCCTCAGCTTCTAAACAGTGGTCTGTAGGACCACCCTTCACTCCAACGTGGATTTCTGACTTGGTAAATCTGTGTGAGTTGACACTGCAGACTTTTAAAATACACCAAAGGAGGAGGTGTGCCATGGGAGTAGCAGCCTTTACATCAGGATCCCTGACTATAACGTTAATTGGCGTGTCAGGACTTGCCATGTTCTCGTTAGTGTAGAGACTCCAGACAGCCATGCCTTTTTCACAGTTCACTCGGTGACTTACACCTTGCCCTGTTCAGTTCCTGTTGGGTTCAGGTAGACACACCTTGAAAAAAACCTGTCGTGTAGGATTATGTCCAGTGTACACCTGGTAGACATGGGGTGATTTATCCTTTTGCGTTTACTTGCAGCTCCACACAGGTGGCGCAGCAGTTTTCCAGAAACAAAGATAAACTAACGGATGGATTTGCGTGGCAAGATTTAGTTTGACCTTTTGGTTTGTCAAGTGAGATGAATGAACAGTTCCCCTTGGCTTATTTCCCCATACTACAGGCACGTTTCATAAACCAGTCAAGCCGGTCATTGTGAACTTTTACCTGTCACTCAAGCCAGCATTGACCGTGTAACTGCTAAGGATTAACCGATGTCCAAAACATCTTATAGATGTGTTACTTTATTGAACAGCTCAATTTGACTTATGACCCATTAGATAGGGTCGTGATTAGGGCTGTAATGAACCCCCCCCCCCCCCACCCCCCAATTAATCGATTGTTTGCCTGTACAACATAAGAAAATGGTGAAATGATTATCCCAGAGCCCAAGGTGATGTCTTGTAAGAGTGGAAAAAGTGACAAATATTCACACTGGAGACGCTGGAATCAAAAAACCGTTGAAATAAAAGTGGACAAATGGTTATCAATTTATCAAAGTGGTTGCTGATTATTGTTTTGATTGACTCTGTTTTACTACAAATAATTCACACTATGTAATGTTAACAACTGCATCAATTGGAGCTGTTTTAATGGCTATTTTCCATCGCTTTTTTCAGTGTGGTTTGTTTAAGCTTTACATCATAGCTCATTCCCACATTGTTCTTGTTCTTGTAGCTTATGAAAAGCATTTCCAAATTGAGTAGGCCACCTCTGTATGTCTGTTTAATTGTAAAAGATGCCTAGACCAAGAGTCAAGGTTTTGTCATGGCACAAGAGTGCTTGTAAACATATTGTAAGTGGACAAGAAATTATTTTTACATTTGCCATTTGTACATGTTTCTTGAATGAATTCTAGTCACACTGTTTCTCAGATAACTGAGCCACAGAGCAATGTATTGTACTCCCTGTACACTCTTGGCTTTGTCTGTCGGATAGCAAAGAATGGGTGAGCTGAGTTCCCTCTCACAGTCCTGTCCTTTGAGCTATTCCAATATGCTGTTTGTGAGTATAACCACAAATGTTCATATTCCGCCTATAACTATACTGGGTTGAACATGGGTCAGATCTTATCATGTGTTAAAATTCCATCCTGAAATGAAATGGCCGGTTGCATGTGGAGGAAATGATACTGTTTGCTGCCTGTTTCTGTGAATAGTTCTGGTTACATGTTTCTTTTACAACTTGTATGCCAGTTGTCTCGAGAGAGACTAGTTACTTCCTGTTTAGCATTCATAATGAAGGTTGAGGAACCGGTAACCATTTGTTCCCTTTATAGTTCTTCAATGTAAAACTTGACTTTTTTTTTTTTTTTTTAAATCAGTCAGTTGAATCCAATGTATTCCCCATTTTGTGTATTCGGCAGCTTTAAAATATTTATGAACATTTTGATAAGCAAATACTTTTTCCACTTAACTGATTCTGTGCTGGGCTCCCTATCCAAATGCCAGGCAACTCATCTGATCCAAACTGACTTCCTAACCTTTGCCTTTGCTCTTTTTAGGTGAACTGCAAGGATCTTGTCTTAAAATGGAGCTGGATAATATAAAGTCCTCAGCTGCACTCATTTATGATGAGTTCATCCAAAATGCAGGTGAGTCTTTGACCATACAAACGCACCAAGCATTCAAGGTAGCTTTATGGCATGTTTAACTTTAAACCCTACACTATGGTCACTTTTGGGTTTGTCTCTGCTTCACCATGATACACTGGCTCACTTTCTTTGTATCTGAACACAGTTGATCTCACAAACCTGTCAAAATGCTTTTGTTGCAGATTCACGGACGGGGAACTGGTTTCTTATGTCGTCTCCTATCCCCCAAACGATCATCATTGCCGCATACATTTACTTCGTCACATCGCTCGGGCCTCGGATAATGGAGAACCGCAAAGCCTTTGACCTCAAAGGCGTTCTCATCGTCTACAACTTCGGTGTGGTCGCTCTCTCGCTCTATATGTGCTATGAGGTGAGTCATCATGTTATGTTTTTTTTTCCTCCCCCCTTTAATGTAAGATTTCACACAGCAATGCATGCCATAGCCTCAAAGTTGAAACACCAGTCTTTTTTTTTGAACTGAGCTCACTATTAAGAACAGAGCCATGACACATGCCATTAGGTAGTCTTGTGAAGTGAGTTAGAACTGCACAACAAGACTTTGACTTTATCCTATGTCAGTCTTGTCAGCACGTCTTCATTTCATTGATGTTTCTAGCATGTAGTAATTTGGATTGACTTGATTCGTGTTTTTCTCGAGAACTTTAATTGTAAACGCTAATAAATCGTAAAATATTACCCTGCCTCACTGCATGTGTGTAAGTCATGACTGTGAGGAACTGTCAAACATTAACATAATGTTGACTGAAATTTTCACTTTCTTTCTTAGTTTGTGATGTCGGGATGGGGCACCGGATACTCTTTTCACTGTGACTTGGTCGACTACTCCGATTCACCACAGGCCATGAGGGTAAGGTACACCTACAATTTGTGCTGTATTGCATTTAAATCTGAATTTGGCACCAAATGCACTGTAACATCAGGATGTTTATTTTGAACCAGTACTGAAATGTTCCTTGTCTCCTCTAGATGGCGGCAACATGCTGGCTTTACTATTTCTCAAAGTTCATTGAGATGTTGGACACAGTAAGTGGCAAATATTTGGTGCAAACCAATATGAATACATTCCCTTGTGTACTGTGTTGTTGCATTTCATGACACTGTGAATCTACCATGTGTCAAATCATAGCAGTTTCTAACTTGTGCAATGTCTCTTTTGTGTACTTTATTATTTTTTTTTCTCTGTAGATCTTCTTCGTCCTGAGGAAGAAGAACAGTCAGGTGACATTTCTTCATGTGTACCATCACTCCATCATGCCCTTCACCTGGTGGTTTGGTGTTCGTTTTGCTCCAGGTAGAATTATTATTTTCTTTTTTTTTTTTTTCTTTTTTTTTTTTTTTTTTTTTTTTTTTTTTTTTCTCTATATATACCATCAAAATTTTTCCATGACATTTCACTAATTTCTTGACATTTTTCTGGTCTCATTCCTAATACACTCCCTATTTCAGGTGGTCTGGGGACATTCCACGCCTTGCTCAACTGTGTTGTCCATGTTATCATGTACTCATACTATGGTCTGACTGCCATGGGCCCCAACTACCAGAAGTACCTGTGGTGGAAAAAATACCTCACTACCATTCAACTGGTATGTTAAGTGGTCTAACTAGCTCATGGTTTTTTGTATATCTTAGAATTTCAAAGTGTATTTTTATAAAGACCTGTGGGGAATCATGGCAATTGAACTCAACCCATCCTTTCTTTGTTGCTCCCCAGATCCAGTTTGTTATGGTAACCAGCCACATCTCCCAGTATTTCTTCATGAAGGACTGTCCCTACCAGTTCCCCATCTTTATCTACATCATCGGTCTCTACGGCCTGATTTTCCTGTTCCTCTTCCTCAACTTCTGGTACCACGCCTACACCAAGGGCAAGAGGCTGCCTAAAGTGCTACAGGCTCAGACATGGGCACACCACACCAATGGAGTTATGAATGGAAACGCCAGTCATGAAAAAGATGAGTGATGCATGACTCGGCTAATCGGGGGGGTTGACCTCATTTACATAAGCAAACCAGAGAGTGGAGATTCACTCAATTTGTTTTTTTTGTTTGTTTGTTTGTTGTTTTTTTTAAATTGCTTTTCTACTTGTAACTGCAAAAGACAATCTTTAAATTATGACCAAACTTATATTTAAGACCTAAGCTGAAAGGTTTTTATCTTTGTTTACAGTGAAGGTAAAGACCAGTTCTGCTATGGAAATGTCAAAATCAAAATATCCTTACTTTTTCTGCTACCAAATGAGTTTCAAGTTTGAAGATCATCTCCACTATTCACAGATTTATAGGGCTTCACCTATGGTAAGACTGCAGGACCCTCAGCTCTACGTCCTCAAAAAAGCTTCTAGTGCTGAGATCTATCTTTCTTTCTTTTTTTTTTTTTTTTTTTTTTTTTTTTTTTTCTTTAAAAAAAGGAAATCCAGTAAAAAATTTTTTTTTTTTTTTTTTTAAAGTTGTGCACTGAAAAGTTTAGGGTTGTTTATTTCACTACGCCTAAAATGTTTTGAGTCGACATTTTTATAATGGTGTTTAGGCTACATGTCCTGTTGTTAAATGGGTTTTATGCATGCAGAACAGGGTGTTTATAGGTCTGATCACATATGCATACCCACTTCTCTGGCTTGAGTCACAGCTGCTGATGGTACAGACATTCAGTGGAAAGAGCTCTCTTAACAGTAATGGCAATTTATTCTAACTTAATAATCCTCCTATGAAGCGATGGTGTGACAGAGATGCCAGAGAGGGAGGCTGCTGGTTCTCGTTGGATCGAGAGCTTTAGCTACAGTTTTACTGCTTCCTAACTGAGGCATATTGCAAAATAACACTGTATTACTGGACCACAGTATGTCCAATTATATGGAGTCACTACTTGGCCAACCAGTCACAAAACATGAGCATGTTTTTTGCTTTTTGAGTATTTGCTTCATATGTTGAAGCCCTGTGGCTAATAAGGTCTTCAGATGGCTGCAGTCAGGTAGTGTCTTTGGACTGAGGTCTGTGGAGTAGTTTTTATATGTAGTTATGATGATCTTAAACTGAAAAGTGAATGTAACACTGCTCCTTTGGTAACTGAGGTTGCAGAATTGACCTTGGTGTGGAAAGAGTTCCACTTTTTTTTTTTTTTTTTAAATTCAGGTGCAAGCCCATGTTAACATAAGATTTACAGATGTGTGTACATACAACCTAAAAATATGGGTGAATATTTTTTTTTTTTTTTTTTTTTTTTGTGTGTATCTGTTTTCCCTCCCAGTTCCTTTTCAGATCCCTTTATACTATAATTAATACTGTAAGAAATATGTGACATGTTTATATTGTATTTTATATGTATTTATATAAAAAAATAAAAAATAAATGATCATACTTTGAAATTTGTCTGTTTGCTGTATTTTGTTGGATTTAAGCTAATAATTGTGGCGGATCGGTCTAATTGGAGTATTAATTAACTTAACTGTTTTTATTCTTGCAGGTTACAGTAGCTTCATTGGGGCTGATTTAGGAAGACGAGACCTGTACACTTTTGATATGCTTTCTGAGAAGTTAGATTTCTGATCATTTGTAGGCAATCAAATTGCAGCATCTTTGAAAGAGTTATGCAATTTAAAGGGGAAACTGTAAGAGGACAGACCCCACCCAAGCAGGTTGAATTTCTAATCTTGGCAGAGCGATTAAATGTATCTCATGATGCATTTATTTTACAGTAACATTTGATAAAAATCATTCAAGTTCAGTCAATGCTTTTCTCTCCCATTTTTAACTGATTAATGCATAGTCCCTACTGTAATGAGCTACTCTCACCAGTGGGAGGTGCTGTTAAACAGACTTGAGAAAGTTCACTGCTTAGTTTTCAGTGCATTATAGTAATATGAAATACCTCCATAACAATAGAATTAATTTCACATTCATGCAAAAAGCTTGGGTCTCCTATAAGTCATTTGGTTGAATGTATTATTGAGCAATCCTCCGTTTTAATCATAGAACATTGACTTCCCTCCATGTGGCTCTGTTTCTGCAAGATAATAAAATGTGAAATGCATTTTGCTCTTGGGTGAAAACCTATACTCCAGAGCAGAGGAATAGATTTTTATCCTGCCAACAATACATTATTAAATTTACATTAAGGATTTTTAAGAGGATTTTCATAACATCAAATTAATTTTCTCAACCAATAGAGAAGCATATACATTTAATTTCTATTTGAAGTTAAATCACTGGAAACTAATTAAAATGAGAATCCTGCAAATTGAAAGATTATTTGTTTTCCAGCAAGACAATGAACCCAAGCATAAAGCTAAAGCTAGGAATGGCTTCAGAGCAACTTGTTAAAATAGGAGTCCAGGTCTCAGTCCAGTCAAGAATTTGTGACTAGACTTGAAATCCTATATTTATATTTTTCAAATATATATTTTAGATTTCAGATAAAGAGCAATTTATACTTCAAAATACTCTCATAGCATGCCCGCCCATGGTTTCTTCATCACAGACACACACACAATCACACCCAGGAAACAGGAGAGCACACTGACCTGTCTATTAGATACCAGTGTGTACTTCTGCACTTAAGTGGTCCATAATGATACCACCAAACAACAGCCCCTGAGCTTTTTATTGAGTGACACTCAGCTGTGTGATGGCAAATGTGAGAGCTTTTCATACATAAAAGGAAGATGACGTCAGTGGAAGATACAAGTGCAAATTATAGAAATCAATTTTTGCTTTCCATATAAATACTGTGGTATCTGAATGCTGAAACTAACCGGTCAAATGGAGAGATGAGAGCGGGCGGCAGGACAGCCCAACCCTTGGAGGGCATGGATGATCGCTCTCCACCATGATGAGCTCCAACAACCCCTGTCTGTCTCCAAGCCACCCTTGCAGGTCCTTCCATGGTTTTAGTGTGTGAGATGATGGGATAACTAGGTCATTATCAGACAGCTCATCTTTGCAAATATCTGTAACACAAATTAGGATTTATTGTTGTCTTTCACCACACAATACATGATGATTTTAAAATAGATTTTTTTTCAAATGTTAGACAGATTTAGGTTGTATTTGATCATTTCAGTGGATTCATATTTGCCATTGCACAGAACATTTTACTGGAATTTGCTTAATGAAGACAACAGAAGCGACAAAAGGATAATCAGACTAATTGTGAAGATCTGCCATCCCCATACTTTAGAGGCTTGTGTTTGTAAGAAAAATTACTTCCGATATGTCCAGTAACATCTGGATCATTAACTATGGGAAAGCTATGTCCCTGTCTGAAACTGTAATTAATTACATAGATATGTTGCCAACATTATTCCCTGTGTCTGTCAGAGCGATTCCATACATAAGTTCAACAAGCTCTAATTGTATTAGTGCAGTGACATTTTTTTCTGCATTCTAATCAATTTAAATTTGAAATGGACCATTGAATGTGGTACTTAAGTGCAGTTTAATTTGATTTACTGCATTTCATCCATATTAGTCACCCAGAAGACACTTATGTAAAAGTATAATGGCTGATAATGTTGGTGAAAAACTGTAAAATTGATTGTAGAAACTAATTTACCACATCAACTCTATCTTAAAGGCCCTGTTTACTCAAACTTTCTCGTTTGAGAACAAATGTTTCTGCCCAAGTTTTGATCATTTCATATGAAATAACCAAAACTTTTGTATGTATTTGTGTTTTTGCTTTTCTCTCTGATTTGAAGTGGACGAGGCTCAATTGGGAAAAATACAATGTCAAGTACTTTTCAGAACCAATCAGAATGTGATGATGGAATCAAACGTGAGCATGATTGCAGCTTAGATGAAGTTTTGAGGGTTAAACTGTTATTAAATAATTGAATTAATTATTAATAATACCTGTGTTTTTTCAACTTGGAACTTGTATTGTTGCTTGTCTCATTAATATTTAAACCTGCAATAACCAGCTGTAAACACAATACATGTTATCACCTCATGGTGAACGGTTGCCTATTATCCAGCACGGACAAAAGTTATATTCAAGTTCCTTTTAGCTTTCTTACGGAAATACCTGGAACTTAAGCTGCTAAATTCTCCAAGTTCACCAGCTAGTCTCTGACTTTGTCTGTCTGCCTTTTGATGCTGTGCTACTCCCAGGCATAGTATAACCAGTGACATCATTGATGACATCAGCGAGAGCATAAAATAAGGAAGTGTTTGGCTGCCACCCCCTTTTTAACTCTTGGAATCCATGGTGAGTATGCAGGATCAAGATTATGGTCAGATTAAACCAAAAGAACTGTAAGCTACATATTTAACCAAAACCTTGTGATGGTAACTGTATCAAAGCACAATCAAATTTTAAGAGCTCAAGATTAAGTGCTAAACAAAGCATGAGATTTGTGTTCTCACAGTTGCTGTACACACACACACACACACGTACATATGCATGCACACACCTACAAATGTCAGTGCAACTGACATTAACAGCTCATTTTAGTAACGCAAGTAACTAGGGTAGCAAGCTACAATACACAGTGCCAGTAACATGGTGCTCACTTACCTTTTACCTTTCACATACAAGTAGTCATATGATCTATTGTAAATTTAAAAATATTGATGGAGAAAAACTTGAGTCTTGAAACCAACTTTTCAGGCGTTTTGACGGTGGCTAAACAGTTGTCACTCTTTGCCACAGTCAAAGGTGATGTACTCAAAATGTGGTGCCGTCCACTCCAGTAGTGACTCTGAAGAGGACTCGTGAGGCTTTTAAAATGGCAGAGTCATGGAGGATGTGAGTGCAGATGAGAGAAAGGAAAAGGCTAGCTGGTAATTGCTTTCTGTGTGGACACTGTAATTCACCAGATCTCAACGCTTCCAGGCAGTGGCACATGCTGTGCTACAGTGACGAGGTTTGAGCATGTCTGTTTTCTTAACAGTAGCCTACTAGTTGTGACTTGTGATCACAGTTTGAAAAAAAAAAAAGAAAAAAGAACACATCTACATGTGTCCTGATTTTCTTGGAATCAGGACATTTGATGAAGATGAATCTAATTTTGCTTGGTCACATCTCTTGAACTCCTTAAATGGTGATTATGCAGAGAGAATGTAGCCAGAGCAAAGTATTTCCCAGGTGGTCTGTCAAGTCTTTAATATTAACAAGAGGTGTGTGTGTGTGTGTGTGCGTGTGTGTGTGTGTGTACATGGCCGAATCATTCAGCAGAGAGCAGATCGCTCTGTGAGAATAATTATTGGTGTTTTAGATAATTGCGGGTATTTGGTTGACTAATAATAAGCAAATCTTCTTCTCTCTCTTTCTCTGTCTCCCTTTTTCTTCCTTTCAGTATCTCTTCAGTGTAATAAAATAAGTAAGAATAAGTATGATTTGGCTTATCAAAATTTAAATAGACACCACAATCAGGGTAGCAGAAAAGTTATGTTCTGCCA